TTGTGATGTGCATTGCAGGGTAATAAGACAACTGACTGAACTTCAGATCACCCTGAAGAAGGATGATTTGCTCTACACCAAGGAAAAGAATCCTCTGCACCTCCTGATCATAATCACTCCATTTCTCAAATGGGATATCTCTTCCATCTGATCTTCATCAATCCTTACAACAATAAATGGGAATTAGCCAAGTTTTACAGATGAAATTAGTTTACAGAGGCAGAATCAAGTCCAAATTCCTTACTATGGATAGGCTTCAGAAACCTTACATAATCTGAAGGGGGGGGGCTACTGAAGAGTGAACACAGAGCCTCCCCACTGAGCTACATCCGCAGCCCTTTTTTTCTTAGATAGGGTCTCAACAAATTGCTTAGGCTGGCCTCAAACTCATGGTCCTCCTGACTCAGCTTCCCAGAGTGCCAGGATTACAGGTGTGCACCATCACACCCACCTTCAACTGAACCTATTTTTCCAACCTCATCTTCAGTCATTCTCAAGTGAAGTGGACATGCTGTTCTGGAGCATAGCTTACCTCCAGACCTTTGATCATTATGTTCCCTCTATACTCATTACCTCCCCACCCCAGACAACATTACCTATCAAAACTCTATTTTCAACTGAAAAAGTAATTCCCAGGTTTCATATGTATTACCTTTGTAATAATTAAATGTTATAAGATGTAGACAAACGTCTGGATGAGAACAGGTGGGTTGGTGGCTCTGAGGTGGAAAGTTGTGAACGGGGACTAATATTTAAGAAGCACTTACAATGCACCAGGCACTAGTCTATGCACTTTACACAGATTGTCCTCACCATAATCCCAAAAGGTATGTGATATGATCAAAAATATGATGAATGTTTAAATTTTTTATAATTACTACAATTAAAAAAAACATTGCAGCTGGGCATGGTGGCACACTCCTGTAATCCCAGAACTCAGGAGGCTGAGGCAGGAGGATTGTTGCAAGTTTGAGGCCAGCCTAGGCTACAAAGTTCAAAGCCAGCCTAAACTACATAGTCACTGTCTCAACAAAATAAAACAACACATTGTCATTAATCCCCCTCAAAGCCCCTGCACCTGCTTTGAACACATTTATCTCATTGTCCTTGCTACTTTCTGAAGCAGTTCAGGGAGACCTCTTTTATGATTGTCTTCGGTTGTGCTTTCATGACTGACTCAGTGTCCTAAATCAATTCACAATATTTACTGTCTCATAGTCATTTTGACTTTGGAACAGAGCCAGAAGTTACATTCCACACTTTATCTTAGCCAAAAGGTCGAGAAGTGATCAGCAGCCACATTCCAGGTGTGGTGAATAAAATGGATGAGAACACACCATAATGTTTTTACAAACCTGCCTTTCCATTGGATGATAGTCACACCAAGTAAAGATACTCTCAAAAGAGAACTTCTAGAACTGCAAGAGCAATGGATGTGGCAAGAGCAATAAGGATAAGTGTGTTCAAAGTGATGAGAGTTTTTTGAGGGGGATTAATGGCAGAGTGTCTTTTCTGTAACATTTAAACACTATTTTGATCACACCTTATACTGTCCTCACTTGAGGAAACTGAGGTACCAAGAGGTTGGGTAACTGCCTAAGCTCATGCAGCCAGTAATGGTAGAGCTGGGATTTGATTCCATGTAAGTCTTGCTCTAAAGATACTCTTAGTAACTACATTGGTTGATTGACAGGAAGGGTCTCTATGTAGTTCAGGCTGGCCTTGAATTCCCTATATAGCCCATGCTGGCCTCAAACTCACTTCAATCCTCCTGCCTCATCCCCTAAATGCTGGGTAACAGGCATGTGTCACCATGCCCCACAATAACTACATTTTAAAGTGAAAATACTGCCTTTCATTTCAGTTAAATTAAACTGACACTTCAGAAGGCTGCATTGTGTCTTACCCTGTGGTTTCAGCACCTCTGTCTACCACCATAGGTCTGCACAATCTATGTTGAAAACTGTTGATCTAGAGGACAAATTTGTAAACATTGAGCCTTTGACCCACAATATCATGACCAAAGAAAAGTTCTCAACTCCTAGGCCCCAGCAACACTGGACTGGCACAGAGCCAATGGCATTTCCTCAAAAATTTAAGACTCCTGGAAGAGCCAATGCAGAGCCCAGTTAGTCAGGAAATGAAGGTTCAGAGAGGGGAAGTGAGAACTTCAAGGTCACAAAGCAGCTGAGATGTGCTCACAGATTTGGAGGATAAGCTTAGCCAACATCCTGCTATCATGATCATGTCCTTTAGGGAGCCTATAGGAGACGGATGGGAAAGGACCAAATCCCTAGATATTTCTGGTAAATACCAGGGTGGAAGTGTATATTGTTCTAGATGATTTCAGTTGCAGTTGCCAGACACCAAACTTAAACTGACTTTTCGTAACAGAAAAGTCCATAAAGGCTGAGGATAGTATATGCCTGTAATCTTAGCTACTTAGGAGGCTGAGGCAGGATTGCAAGTTCCAGGCCAGCCTAAGCAATTTTGCAAGACCTTGTCTCAAAAGTTAAAAAGGGCTGGGGATGCTGCTCAGTGTTCCCTAGATTCAATCACTCTCCAGTATTGCGGGGGGAGGGTTCCACATAAAGGCTTCAGGTTTGGCTGGATCCAGGAGTTCAAATGATGCCACAGAAATTGCACTCCCTCCCTCCCTCAATGCTGGCAGTCAAACCAAGGCCTTCACACATACTGGGCAAGTACTCTACCACTGAGCTACACCCCAAGCCTCAGAAAATTATTTCCTGATGTTTTCATTGTCAAACAAGTTGCTTTAATTGTCAGTTAAGTTCTCTCCCAAAAAAGTGTCATGACAGCCACTAAGAGCTCTGAGTTTATATCCTACTTGCTTAGCCATCCCTGAGGGTGGGGAGAGACAAATGTTTCTTTCCCAACAGACCCTACAAGTACATCTCATTTGACCTGACTGGGATTGCTAAAACGACCTCCCCCAATCCCAGCTAGTCACTAGCCTGAGGTGGCAGGATGTTGGAATGCTTTGATTTGCCAAGCCGGTATCATCTGCCCACCAGAACTACAGGGTGTGAGAGTGCCACCAAACTACAAATGGAATGAGATAGAGAGTTTTCCCTAAAGGAAATCCAGTGTTCTTATCAGAAGAAGGAGGAATGGATGATTGGCAGACAAAATCAATAGTCAACCTGAACAAGATGGGCTGGAAGCAAGGCATAGTGGCACACACCTGTCATTCTGCACTCTGGGAAGCTGAGGCAAGAATACGGTGAGTTCTGGGCAACTTATATGGTGTCTCAAATAAATAGAGCCAGGAATTTATCTCAGTGGTGGCGTGCCCCTTGCAAGCACAAGGTCCTGAGTTCAATCCCTGGTATGGAAAACTAATTAATTAATTAAAGGGCTGGGGATATAGCTCAGTGCAAAGACCCTAGGTTCAATCACTGGTTCAAAAAAAGGAAGTTCGGGGGCTGGGGTTGTAGCTGAATGGTACAGCACTTGCCTAGCATACATGAGGCTCTGGGTTTCATCCCCAAAACAGAGGAAGGCTCAAATCCTCCAGTGGCTTCCTGTCTCATACATAGTAAAAAACCATACAACCCTATATGACTCATCACTTCTCCCAACCCGCTCTCCTGTGTATTCCATCTAAACTACACAAGGTGCTTTGTTATCTCTTAAATATAACACGCCCATTTACCTGAAGGTCTTTGCATTGACTGTTCCTTCTGTCTGGAATTTCCCTTCTCCAGATAACTGCATGAGGTGCTCATTCTAGTCCTTCAGTGAAGCCCTGTTTAAATCTGTAGCACTTGTGCTTGCTTCGGCAGCACATACACTAAAAATTTGTAGCACTTATCCCCCTTTCTTGTTTTTCCTTTACACCAATTATTCCCTTCTAACATACTACGAAACTTACTATATTTATGTCTATCTCCTCCCATTTAACTGTAAGATCTGTAGATATCTATTAAATATTTACTAATTCATTCAATTAATATTGATATTTATTATGTGTCAAGCACTGTGCTAAGCAATGGAGCTACATGGTGATTAAGACTGCTTATAATCTAGTGAGGGAAGTAATACTAGCAGTAGTAGTACATCATTTATCAAATGCTTCCTCTGCATTAAGTGCTTGCCAAAAATAATAACAATGGCTAACATTAATTAAAATAGTCTGCAGCTAGGCGTGGTGATGTGCACACCTGTAAATCTTAGCCACTTGGGAGGCTTCGGCAGGAAGATCTCAATTTGGAGGCCACCCTGAGCAAATAAGCAAGACCCTGTCAAATAAGTAAATAAATAAACAAACAGGGTGACTAACGTAGCTCAGTGGTACAGCACTTGCCTAGCGTGCATGAGGCCCTGGGTTGAATCCCTAGTATCGAAAAACAACAAAACCCAGACTGTTCAACGTGCGTTATTTCATTTAATCCTCAACCAAAACCTATAGGGTGAATATTACTAACTTTATTAAAAAGACCAAGAAACAGGATTTAAAGCTCAAAATTGGCAGAGTCAGCATCTGAAATAAGGTAAGGGCAGCGAGAATGTACAAATAAAATGAGGTAAGATGGGAGAAATATTTAGAAGTTGGGGTCAGCAAGACTAGGTCACAGATTGAGTGTGTGGTATCCGAGGGAAAGAGGGAAGTGACACCAAGATTTGGGGGTGGTCCAAAGTGCAACAAAGCCCAAGAGAAAGATGAAAGCCCGATTCTGGATGCAATGAGTTTGAGGTGCCTGTGGGCTGCTGTTAGATACAGACTATCTCCAGCAGAAGCAAAGAGGCGGTTCCGGCCCCTCCCTCGAGCCTGAAAAGGCACACAGGGAAAGAACAGGAGATGGGTTCCCTTCCCTTTTAGGTCTACTCAGTACCAGCTCCAAGAAGGGAGTGGGGTACCGCGAGACAAAGAGCGCTTCTGGTCTGCCTTGGCCCAGCGGCCCCTTTAAGAAGCGCGCTCCCGGCTCCCAGCCCGCCTTGTATGCAAATTTAGCGACGAGGCGGGAGCGCGCGGCTGATACCCGAGGACTGGGTTGGGGCGGTTAGTCCTTTCTCGGCCACCGTCGCCTCGGACATATTGCCCGCAGGAGTTGCGGTGGCGAAACGGAGAGCGTCGGGGGGAGGAGATGGGTGAGCAGAGCGGGTCAGACCTTGTCCCGGTAACGAGCGGGCGCGAGGGTCTGGCTGGCCGAGCTACTAATTGCCGCCCCAGGCGGACTGGGTCCCGGCGAGGAGCGGGGGAGGGGAGGCATGCGGGTGCAGGCGGGACACCGCCCCCTCCTGTCGTTTTGCGAGGTGGGGCCTCTGTTGTGGGGGCGGGACATTGGAGTGGTGGGCGGGGCTTCCTCAATGGAGAGGCCTTGTGGGGGCTTGGCCTTTGAGGAGGACTATCTCGTCCGGGCTAAAAATGGGGGCGAGCTCGAGAGTGGGCGTGTCTCCGCGCCTACGGCGGAGCTTCTGGGCTGTAGGCTCACGTGCGGAGGCGAACTTCTTGGGTTGTGAGGGCTTATTATGCAGGTCGTGGGGCGCGAAGGAGTCCTTTCAAACCAAGAGAGACTTCTGGAGTGGGGCTTGTAGTCTGGGGAAGCGTTTACTAGCTTGTAGGCGGGGTTTCAGGCTGACAGTTGTGTAGGCGGGGCTTATGGTTTGAGAGGCTTTATGTGGAGGCAGAGATCTAAAGATGGGAGAGTGGGTGTGGGCAAAGCTTCGGGGCTGAAGGTGTTTGTGTGGGGTTTTCTAAGCCAAATGTAACAGTGTGTGAACAGAACTTCTGGTCTGGGGAGCTTATTGCGAGCAGAGCTTCTGAACAATCTTTTTTTCTTGGAGACTTGTGGTATAGCCACCTGAATTGAGGGGCTAGGACCTGGTGTGTTTATTTTTATTAGTACATGTTTGTAGAACGTGATGATTACATTCTTCGTGGGAGTTGGGACATGTACATGGCAGTCTTAATTCTTTGTAATTATCTACCTTTCCTCACTCTGCCATTCCCCTTCCCTCTGTCTTTTGGTCCCCTTCCCATTTGCAAAAGATCTATCTCCCTGGTTTCTATTGTGTATTTGTGAATAGAGGCCGCTATGTTGCCATTTGGAGTGTAAACAGGTTATAAGTTTGTTCAGGTTCTTAGTGCAGGATAGTGTTTAGGGTCTTGGGCTAGGCTGCTAAGCCTAGGAAAATAAATTGTGAATACAAGTTTTAGGTCCACAACCACAGAATTCTCCAGAGCCCACATCCTTGTTTGTTTGTTTGGTTTTGGTACCAGGGATTGAACTCGGGACCTTGAGCTTGCAAGGCAGGCACCAGAACCTCTGAGCTAAATCCCTGGCCTGAGCCCACATCTTTGATTCTAAATCAGGCCTTGGGTCCTGCCCATGAGACACCAGGATTGAGCTTCAGAGTCTTGAGAAAAAAGTGGTCTCAAAGGTGCCCAAAATTTTAAGCCACTGGGAACTTGTTCAGATAGGGCCCAGTGCATACCAGAGTTGAGAGCTCATCGCTCACACTCAGATACTGTCTCTGACACAGTGTAGCTCAGCTTCCTAATCTGAAAAAAATTATCTTTCATTCACTCATCAGCATATACTTGTTGTGCGTTGTGATAGGCTTAGGGGAAACAGTGAAAAATATATAAGGTTACTGACCTTTCATTTTCATGAGAGAGACCATAAACATTTTAACAAACAAATTAGAGAATTTCAGGGTGTGAAGAGGGTGGGGAATAGGATGGAAAGTAATGAAGGAGCTGCTTCAGAAAAGACAATCAGGGAAAGGCTCTCCAGACAGAGTATACAGCAAGTGCAAGACATAACAGGAATCTTGGATGCTAAGAAGAGAAAAGCCATGATGGCTACAGCATGGGAATGAGGTTGAAGAGGTGAGGTAGGCAGGTCTAGATCAAAGGCCCTTGTTAGCATTAAATGATAAATGAGATATTTAGGCAACTGTTAGCTAATATCATTGCTGATATCCTTTTTTGTTTTGTTTCGCTTTTGGGGGGGGGCGGGGGGGTGAAGGGTCTTGGTATGTAGTCCAGCCCCAGCCTTGAACTTGCTGTGTGGCCTCAAACTCCAATTTGCCAGGCTGGCCTCAAACTCCTCCTGCCTCAGCCTTCTGGGTGCTGGAAGTACAGGCGTGTGTCACCATGCCTAGCTTGCTTTTTTCCTTGATATATGCACTGTTGCTTTGTATTGAGTCCCACAGGAGGACGAAGAGGTCCCAATAGGACATCTTACTGTCGAAATCCACTCTGTGAGCCAGGATCCTCAGGGGGCTCTGGTGGGGGCCACACTTCCAGTGCATCAGTGACCAGTGTCCGTTCCCGCACCAGGTAAACTACCTTTCTATCTCTCATCCCTCACTGTGGCATTGTGGACAAGGCTGTCCTTGACTGGGTTTTGAGATGTGATATCCTAGATGCCTGGTGGGGGGATACAGGGGAGTAAATAGCATAAAAAATACAGAAGGAGCTCAGTTGAGATGATCACTTGGACAGCTGCAGTGGGACATGATAGAATAAGCCTAAAGTCCTTGATTTTTGCTCCTCGGTTTTGCTCCTGATTTGCTGGTGGCTTGGACACATTGCTCTTTCTCCCGGGACCTCCTTTCCTCATCTATAAACTGGACCTAATAATTCTCTTCTGAGGAATATTTTTTAGGTTTGGGGATAAAATTTGGGGATAAGAAAGACTATTATGGGGCTGGAGATTTAGCTCAGTAGTTCTGCCGCCTGCCTCGAAAGCACAAGGTCCAGAGTTCAATCCCCAGTACCAAAAAAAAGTGTACGAGAAAGACTATTGGCTTTTCTGCCAGACAAGATTAGTAGGACTTTGTGCTTGTCATGAACTGCTTTTTTGATCTTACCCTGAAATCCTGTGCCCCAGAAGCTCTTCCTGGTAAGGTTCTCAGCTGAGCCCCCATGTTATTGCTTTCCCATCCCCAGGAGCAGTTCTGGGACAGGCCTTGCCAGTCCTCCACTGGCTACCCAGACAGTCGTGCCTCTGCAGCACTGCAAGATCCCCGAACTGCCCGTCCAGGCCAGCATTCTGTTTGAGTTGCAGCTCTTCTTCTGCCAGCTCATAGCCCTCTTCGTCCACTACATCAACATCTACAAGACAGTGTGGTGGTATCCGCCCTCCCACCCGCCCTCCCACACTTCCCTGGTAGGTGCACAGCCAGGGCCAGGTGTGTGTGTGTGTGTGTGTGTGTGTGTGTGTGTGTGTGACATTTTGTTTTACTTTAGCATAGTCTGTCATCGAGCATCACTGTACACTTGGCCCCATGTGGAGGATGAGGGTGTAGAAGGAACATTAAACTGATGAATCTTGTATATTCCTAGTGTGCTTCAGACTACACTGGGCATTGTAAGGCTAATAGAGATGAATCTGACAATTTTGCTAAAGACGCTCAGAGTCAAAGTATGTGGGAGAGATAAGCCATAGACAAATATGAATGTTTCAGGGGTAGAAACAGCCTTGTGCAGAAGAGATACAAGAACAGGGATATGGGTGTTGAGAGCCAGAGGGCTCATACACCACTCTCTTATCCCCAGGGACTGTCCCACTTCTCTTCTCTGGGTCCTGTTCTACTCCTCTAAGTAATTTCCTGGCCTGACTCACCTGGAGGCCAATGAAGGTCAGAGAATGGGGACAGTCTCTATAGAAAGGACTGGGCAGAGGGAGGTGGCGGGTATAAGAAAAGCCTATGTATGGGCAAAAGGCCCATGTGACCCCCAGGCCTCTGCCCCTTGACAGAATTTCCATCTGATCGACTTCAACTTGCTGATGGTGACCACCATTGTTCTGGGCCGCCGCTTCATTGGATCCATCGTGAAGGAGGTGATTGGGTCCTAGAGGCTGGCCAGGGATTTTGGGACTTCTTTTTCCCCTGGGGGTGCCAAGGAGACACACCCAGCCCTTCAACCCTGAGGTATATCCTTGGGGCTCCCTTTGGACTTGTTTGAAAAACATTAATCACATCCCATTGGCTCTCACAGTTTACTGGGCATCAAAGAGAGAGGTTCACCTTGCCAGGTTCAGCCCAGGGTGCTGCATACCTTTCCCCGGGTGGGATCACAGGCTATGATGGATGGGTGGAATTTGGGCACAGTCCCTGTGGCCTCCATCCATAGCCCCATCCCATCCTATCTCACCCTGACCTAGGCTTCTCAGAGGGGGAAAGTCTCCCTCTTTCGCTCCATCCTGCTGTTCCTCACCCGCTTCACCGTTCTCACGGCAACAGGCTGGAGTCTGTGCCGATCCCTAATCCACCTCTTCAGGACCTACTCCTTCCTGAACATCCTGTTCCTCTGCTATCCGTGAGTACCCCTCACTTCACCCCTCACTGCCTCTGCCTTTAGTGTGGCTGGGTTGTCTGGCCTCCATATCTGGAAAGACTCTTAGGCAGGCAGTGAAAGTATCCTCTCACATTGTATAATGACACACCCCCTATGCAGAACTGTGGTGGCATAATTTGCCCAATCTCCCACTGATGGGGAGTCAGAATGGGACTTAGATCTACTCTTTTTTTTTTTTTTGGTACTGGGGATCGAACTTGGGTCCTTGCGCTTGTGAGGCAGGCGGCAGAACCACTGAGCTAAATCCCCAGCCCTGGACTCAGATCTTAAGTGTATATCCCAAAGGAACATGCAAGGAATGCTTTGTCTCCCTGTTTCTCTTTCTGTCTTTCTCTGTGTATCTCAGGGTTTGTGTATTAGCTTATGCCTTCCAAGTCTGTATGCTGGCAAGTACCTGCATGTTGGCATGTCCCTGAATGAGTGTCTATGCATGAAGCAAACCTGTACGTATGTGTGTCTGCATGTGCCTGTGTATGTCTATTCTTGTGTCTGGTTAGCTCACTCCTTCTGTCTCATCAAAACCCAGATTGGCAAGGATGGAGAAAGAGTTTCTAGGGAGAGCCTAGGACTACTCCTTTCTGGCCTAAAATTGAAGTTTGGCAAAGTGTCTGATTTGACTACCTGGGGCAGGTTTCTGACCAGCCAGGTATTTTCAGTTATTTCTCAACCCTGGTTCATGAACTTCCTGAAGCTGAGCCAGCCCTGGTTCCTGGGAAGCTTCAGAGCTGGACACTTCTCCCTTTCTGTCTTGCATGACTAAGATGGCACTGATTGGAGTCTCATCACACTTGTTTTAATTATATCTAGTTTTTAATTATTAGAATGACACATGTCTTCTAAAAACATTAAACTCTACAAAAGATTTTGTTGTTGTTTTTGCTGAAGCTGGGATCAAATCCATGCTTGGAAAGCACTCTGCCACTTAGTTACATCCCCAGTGCTCTGTACAAGCTTTTAACATAGAAAATGAAAAGACTCACATAATCTCAGAAACCATTAATCATTTGTAACATATTCTTCCAGATTTTCTCTGAGCAAATACACACACACACACACACACACACACACTCAAACACTCAAACTCCAACACACGCACACTCCCTTCCTTCCTGCTGTCCATCCATACTTCCCTTTTTTTTCAGTACTGGGAATATGCTGAACTACATCCTCAGCCCTTATTTATTTATTATTTTATTTTGAGACAGGGAGTTGCTAAATTACTAAGTTCCTCAGGCTTGGCTAGACATTGTGATCCTCCTTGCCTTAGCCTCCCAGAGTTCTTACATGTTTTTTTTAAGAAAAACAAAAATAGGTTTATGCTATATATGATGTTATACAATTTACTACACTTTTCACACAATCATATTACTTGGATATTTTTCCACGGAAATACATATGAGAATGGCCTTGTACTATTCCATTGTATAGAATTTTCACAATTTATTTGTTTTCTGTGACCTTTTGAGTTGTTCCTAGCTTTTCCTTATTCTTAACAAGGAGACAGGGTCGGGGATTTAGCTTAGTGGTTCCGGCGCCTGCCTTGCAAGCGCAAGGTCCTGAATTTGGTCCCTGGTACCAAAAAAAAACAAACAATGAGGCAATACATTTTTTTTTTTTTTCTTCGTACTGGGGATCGAACTCGGGTCCTTGTGCTTGCACAGCAGGCAGCGAAACCACTGAGCTAAATCCCCGGCCCAAATATTTTCGTTACTCTTTTTTTTTTTTTGGTACCGGGGATTGAACTCGGGTCCTTGCGCTTGCACAGCAGGTGACGAAACCACTAAGCTAAATCCCTGGCCCTGGCAATACATTTTTGTACACTTATCTAGTATTGTTGTACCACAGATTTCCAGAAGTAAAACCACTATACAAAAGGTACGGTATGTCCATTTACATTTATTATAGATATTAACAAATTGCCTTTCAACAGGGTTTACTGTTTAAAACTGTCAGTAGTTGATTTAACACTATAGTTGCTACCTGAACCACGTATGATGGCACACACCTGTAATCCCAGTTCTTTGGGAGGCTGAAGCAAGAAGATCACAGGTTGAAGCCTGGGCAATTTAGCAACTTGGCAAGACCTTGTCTCAAAGTAAAAGTATTTGGGGGCCAGGAATTTAGCTCAGTGGCACCACGCCTGCTTCACAAGTGGAACATCCTAAGTTTGATCCCCAGTAGGGGTGGGGAGGTAAAAAAATTTTTTAAAAGGGCTAGGAATGTAGCTTGCTGTGCAAACCCTGGTTTCAATCTTCAGTAGCTCATACACAAAAAAGTATGATTAGTTCTGATGAATTGTTCTCCTTAGATACAGGCATCACCCATGTCCATATTTTTTATTTTTTTGACATAATACTTCATAAAAAATTTAAATCTAGTGCTAAAAAGCTTATAATGAGAAGCAGTAGCCTCCAACCCCACCTCCAGATTTTTAGTGCAACTCTTCAAAAGCAGTCTCTTTTGGGCCTGGAATTTATCTCAGTGGCACCATGCCTGCCTTGAAAGCACAAGGTCCTGAGTTCAAGTCCTGGTACTAGAAAAACAAAACAAAAACAAACAAAAGCAGTCTCTTTCAGTTTCTGGTTTTGAGTGGTTTTTGAGTTATCTCCATAGTTCTTGTATCCTTATACCTTTGGTTTTACTTTTAAATTTATTTATTGTTTTTATAATTGGATAATAAGTTCACATAGTTAAAATTCCAAAGATGTAAGAGTGAAAGTCTGCCCTTGACTGTTGCCTCCAGCTGCCTAGTTGGGTAACATTTCAAGAGGTAATCACCAATGTTTCTGGTTCCTTGTATGTTTTGTAAATAAACATTCTATGCACATACAAGCATACTACGTACAACACACATGCATACACACATTATTTTCCAGTAATGACAAAGGTTTTTTTTTGGTTTTTTGGTACTGGGGATCGAACTCGGGACCTTGTGCTTTTGAGGCAGGTAGCAGAACTACTGAGCTAAATCCCCACCCCAAAGATTTTTTTTTGAAACAGAGTCTTGCTAGGTAATTCAGGCTGCCCTTGAACTCATTATGCAGCCCTGGCTGGCCTCCAACCCACAGCAATCTTCCTGCCTCGTCTCCCAAGTGCTGGGATTATAGGCGTGTGCCACCACACCTGGCTTCAAATAAAGATTTAGTTCATTACTTCATCCCTACTATCTTCAGAATTTGATAATTATTGTTATATTTAGTTTTCTCTTATTTTTGTCAGTAACAATAGTATGCTAGGAGCTGGGGGTATTGCTTAGTGGTAGGGGGCTTGCCTAACATGTGCAAGGCCAAGGTTCCATTTCTAGTGCTGTCAAGAAAAAAGTATTAGGCCAGGGATTTAGCTCAGTGGTTCCGCCACCTGCCTCGAAATTGGAAGGTCTCAAGTTTGATCCCTGGTACCAAAAAAGAAAAAAAGTATTTTTTTTATTCCATCAACAGTAGTTACATGTGTTTTGTTTTGTTTTTGCAGTACAGGGGATTGAACCCGGGAGGACTGATGTAGATCCCCAACCGTTTTAAATTTTATTTTCAGACAAGGTCTTGCAAAATTGCCCAGGCTGGCTTTGAACTTGTAACCCTCTTGCCTTAGTTTTCTGAGTAGCTAGGATTACAGGTGTACACCACTGCACCAGCATAATAGTATTTTGAATTCCTTTTATGTAAGAGAAGAATATTAGGAACCCTACCCATCTACCTTTCCTCCTCTCTTTCTCCTTAATTCCTGGCAGCTGTAATCTTTTATATTGGCAAGCTTGACATTCATATGCTCCTATATGACTATGTTTAAGTCTTTGATTCATTGTCTAAGGTTAATTCTAAACATTAAACTGCAATAAATAGCCTTAATATAGTTATGTGTATGAAAATTCTCACTGCCAGGCCTGGTAATGTACATAAATGATATTCCTTCTTTATAGTTGCTGAGTTACTATCTTAAAGAATGTTCCCAGTGTGAAAATCAAATGGTTTCTCAGGCCGGGATTTAGCTCAGTGGCACCAGGCCTGCCTTGCAAGCACAAGGTCCTAAGTTTGATCCCTGGTACCGCAAAAAAAAAAAAAAAACAACAGATGGTTTCTCTTTTCTTACATTCTATCAGTTGCTTAAATCATGTCACATTTTTATTTGCTTCATATTTAGATTATAACTTTATTTATTTACTTATTTATTTATTTTGATACTGGGGATTCAACTTAGGACCTTGCGCTTGTGAGGCAGGTGAGGTACTACTGGGCTAAATCCCTGGCCCCAAGATTGTAACTTTCTTATATAACATTTTACTTATCTTGGAGTTTCTAATTGCCTTTTTTCTTACTGACAAAAGAATGATGAGCCTTCAGCATATCTTTAAGTTTATCCAGCTTCTCAGTCATGCTACCAGTTCCCTAGAGTCCATTTCCCCTACCCTAAGACATTCTTCCTGGAAGCCTCCATCCTCCTGCTCCAGTCTGGAGTGGTTGCTTTTTAGCCCTGCTGTACAGCTCTCACCCTGGGACTTCCCTTTGCTGCCCTCCTGGGTTGGATCCACTGTTTCCTGGTTCCCATGTCTTACTCTCTCTTGGTTTTCTCCCTTATTTTTCTGGAGTGCCTATCAGGTAATTTCCTTAACAGTGGGTATTTGGGAGGTATATACATTCTGAGTCCTTGAATATCTACAAATATCTTTATTCTGCCCTCAGACTTTACTGAATATATATTTCTAAGCTCAAATTCATATTTTCTCAAGGTTTTGAAGATATTGTTCCATTGTCTCTAGCATCCAGTGTTGTTAGTGACAAGTCCAGTGTCATTTTGACGCCAATTCCTTTGTAGATAACTTCTTTATTTCTTTTCTGGAAGCTTTTAGGCATTTTCTGTTTATGTCTCAATTATTAAAGATTTCACAAGGATGTATCTGGTGCATAACTTTTGTCAGTTATTCTGTCACAACTCAAACTTGTGATCCTCCTACCTCAACCTCCCTA